GCACGGGTATGGTGAACACGTGTGTGTTCCATGCCCCACGTTTGCAGCGTGCTGCTGGCACATGCTGTGTTTACATTCTCCCCTCAGGCTGACACACACATGCACACGTGGCTCGTTAATGCACCTCTGGGCCCCCTTAGGTCTGCACGTGGCAGCAGCCCTCCACCCTGCTGTGTCTCGTCGGCGTGTCCAAGGCTCTCCCATGAGGTTCAGAACTTGGGGAGGGGCCCTTGCCAGGACACTGCCCACTGCCCGGCCCTCTCTGTGGCCTCTGGGGTCCTGCTGTGAGGGACCCTGGAGAGGCCTGGTATCTGTAGGGCTCTGAGGACCTGCCAGACCCACGGCTGGGAGAGGTTCTGAGTGTCCTGTGGGAGGATCTCATAGCAGCATGTGGGAGTCTTGGAGGGGCCACACCTAGGGTTGGGGGGGTTGCAATAAAGAGGGTGAAGTGCTGGAGTGCTGGGAAGGAGGTAGGGCTTGGCTGAGGGTGCCCAGGGAGGCAGCATCCAGGACTCTGAGCAGGGCTGGGCATTGGCTGCGCAAGCGAGTACCTGAGCGAGGGAGGGGGGTGGGGGTTGCCTCCAGGATGGGAAGGAGATAGCCTCAGCTGTGGGTTGCGGGCCTCCTAAGGGTGGGGCTGCCCTGGACCCCCGCTTAGCCCTGCTGGTCCACGGAGCAGTGATGCCCTTCTGTGGGCCCGTCCTGGGGGCAGAGCCTCTGTCTAGGGCTCTTGGGGGGCCCTTTAGTTATTACCCTGGCAGTGGTGTCAGGAGGGACTGCTGGGACCCACTGGCCTTGTTAGGGCAGTGACTCTGCCCAGCCTGGAACCTTTGGCTTGGGGTGGTGTGGGGCTTCTGTTCGGGGACTGAGCTGGTTGGAGCCGTGAGTGATGACTCGGGTCCGGAAGCCCTTTGTCTGGGCCCTTTTCGTCGTGTGTCTTGTGGAACATACATCTCTCCTCCCTGTCTGCCCTCCAGAAAGCGCTGGGCTGGGGTCTGGGACCATCCCGTCAGCACACAGTGCACTCAGCTTTGTGCGTCCTCAGGGATGGTGGTTAAAGGAGCATTCAGCAGGAGACAAGACCTGGAGCAGATTTGCAGCGTCTGGAGGTTGCTAGAGCACGGCCTCCCGCAGCTGTGGGCATGGAGGCCACGAGGGTGACTCTGGGCTGGTGTAGGGCCCAGGTGAGGCCTGGGGCCTGGATGCAGCTCAGGTTCCCTTGCCTGGGACCTCATCCCCCATCCAACTCTAAACTTGGGTCGCGGTAGGGAGGGAGGGAGAGCCCGCTGACCCGGTTGGCCTGGCCTGTGGGGTCCTACAGCTCTGTGGGGACAGTCCAGTTTCAGGGCCCTAGGCATCACCTTTTTGGTGCTGGGGGAGGACAGAGGTCTGAATCCAGACAGGTAGTTCTCCTTACATCGCCCATCACAATTTTAGCTTCAGTTGGCATCAGCGGGGAACACAGGGGTGAGTGAGGACTTCACCTGTGCAGACTGCTCCCTTGCGTCGCAGGTGGTGGACTTGGCAATGGGAAAGAGGTCAGAGGCCAGGCTGGGTGAGGGTGTCTTGGGAAGGCCAATGCTGTCTGGGAGGGCCCCTGAGGGGAGATCAGGGTCAGCAGGGGCTGTGGGCACGGCGTTCATGGCTCCTACCTTGGAACAGAGCAGAGCCCAGGCCAGCCTGGGGATGGAGGAAGCAGTGGACGTGTGTGGGGGCTCAATCAGGACCGGGCTTCGTGGTGGCCTCTCGCCCTGGTTAGGGCCACCTTCCTGTGCCCAGAGGCCCTGTGGGTGCTCCATGGGCTTCTCTCTTCTCATTGGACTGAAGCCCACAGTGCAATCAGTGTCCTTGGAGCTGCATGTAAAGCCCAGGACCTGGGTGTCCTTCCTTCCCAGACCTATTTTTTTTTCATTTATTTTTATTAGTTGGAGGCTAATTACTTTACAATATTGTAGTGGTTTTTTGCCATACATTGACATGAATCAGCCATGGATTTACATGTGTTCCCCATCCCTATCCCCCCTCCCGCCTCCTTCCCCATCCCATCCTTCTGGGTCTTCCCAGTGCACCAGCCCTGAGCACTTGTCTCATGCATCCAACCTGGGCTGGTGGCTTCCCAGACTTATTCTTAACGCTCCAGGAGCAGCTGGGTCTGGAGGAGGCGCGGGCCCCATGCCCAACCCTGGTGAATCAGCTTCAGTGCCAGCTTCCACCTGCCCCTGCCCACGTGTGGGTGCTTCTGTCACCATGGCGACCCTGTCCCAGCAGTCCTCACTCAGGCACATTTCCCGGTGTCCACTTTATGTCCTCTCAAGAGCCTCTCTGCCTGTGACTCTGTGACCTCCAGGGTCCCCTCTATTGAGGGAGGGTGGCCGGCCCTCCCAGATTACCTGTGACTGTCCAGGTTTCAGCCCTGAACATCTGCATTCCAGGAAACCGTCAGTTCCAGGGTGAACCACTTACTGGGGGTGGGGTGGCTTGCCCGGGTGGATGTGAGAGGACACTTTCCCTAGAGGGAGGGCTTCTATGGCCAGAAGACAATCCCATCTCCCACCTCCACCCAGCCTGAGGCCCCTCTGCTGATACCCTTGGCCTGTCTCCTCTGGCTTCAGTGCCAGCTGTGTGCCAGGCACTGGCAGAGCCTCACATGTCCGTGCTTCTCCACTGCCCCCCCCCCACCTCGCTGACCACTTCACAGGTGAGGGCAGGGGCACTGGTGGATGTTCCCCTGGTGAGTACTCACTGTCCTAGTGCAACAGGCAGGTTAGCTCCTAATGGAGCTGCTGCCATCAGTAGCGTCCGTGGGAGGACGTCCAGGGGGCTGGCCCCGGTGCCCACCCCACCCTGGTGCTCCCAGGAGCCTGACAGATGCTGGAGCAGCTGAAAACTCACAGCCCAGCTTCGTTCCCAGCATGGAGGAGCATGGACTTGAGCAGAGCTCTTGCTCTTGCTATGGACATAGGTCTCTCCTGAGGTCTGTCCACACCTCTGGGTGGCAGTCAGGAGTGCAGGTGGGAATTACAGTGTTTGAGCCTCAGTGTGGAGAGGTTAGCTGAGATAATGGGGTGAGGGCTCTGTGATGCTGGAAGGAACCCCATCCAGTCCCCCCTGCCCCTGTTGCCCTGGGCCTGGTCCGGGGTTCCAGCCTTGGACTCGGGTGGCCAAGTGGGTGCTGAGTGAACGCTGGCTTTGTGTCAGCTGTGAGGGAGCAGAGGCTACTGACAGGTCAGGAGCTGCAGGGGAGAGAACTCCCCGGAGGTCTCGGGGGTGGGGGAAATCACCACCTATGCAGGGAAATGGGAGACCAGAAGGCCAGCCTCTGGCCTCAGCTGTGGAGCTCTATTGTAAGGGAAGCCCCCTGAAGCCCCCGACTTCCAAGAGGCCGTCTTGGATCAGCTCTGCCTGGTGGCCAGTGGAGCGGTAGCCGTTTCCCCTGGGCTGGGTGAGTGGGTGGGAAGGGTAGTTCTGTTCTACCGCAGAGATGGGTTCTCTTCATGCAGCTCAACCCTGACCCCCAGTGGCCAATTCTGAGCACTGCTGCAGAGGACTTGGGACCGATGGCCTGGGGGGCGACCCAGGGGGAAGGTCCTGTGGCCCTAGTCCAGGAGCCCAAAGTCTAGGCTGGACATACACAACCAAGGTCCTGTGGTGGAACCCCAAATTTGGCGACAGGGCTTCATTCAACACAGGTATGATCTCCCGTTGAGGGGCATGACCCTGGGGGTTCCGGGGCCAGTGGACCCACCCCCAGGAATTCCCATCCAGAGTTGATCTTCCTTACGCTAGAGGCTTGTCTGGATGGGCCAGACCTGAGAGGTGGCCTTCGAGCTGTGGTCCTAGGATTGGGGAGGAGTGGAGGAGTGTGACGGGGAGAAGGTGAGGCTGGGGGTGGGGAAGGGGTGACACAGCTGAAAGTAGAGACTGCGCTGGAAGGAGACTAGCCCGGTGGGCCCTTTCTCATCCTGTGGGGACCCTCTCTTTGCCCACCCTCATGATCCCCCAGCCCGAGCTCTGTCTGTGCCGGTGGAGCCCCAGGGACTTGGCCACATTTCTTCCCTGGGGTCCACAGCCATTCCAGAAAGGGCTGTCACCCCAACCACACAGAACTGGGCAAAGGTGGCCCTGACCCATCCCACAGGGTCCTGGGGACCCCCTCCCTGTGTCCCCAGACCTCGGCTGCCCACTCAGCCTTCAGAGGGATTCAGCGTCTCCCCAAGTTTGCCTTTAGGATGGCTGCCATGGTTCTTGTTGGGTTGGGTGGAAGACACCCACAACATTCTCAGAAGGGCTGTCCCCAGCCCTGGTCCCCCAGCATTTCAGAATTACTTGGGTGTTCCTACCTCCAGGCCCCAGGGCCAGAACCTCTTATCCTGAGTGGATACACTGCAGGATTGAGGATTAAGCAATTAAATATTTTAATACATTTTATTATTACTTTTGGGGGAGGGAAACTAGGCCATTAGTGCAGATGGTTCAGGAAGAAAAGAGTACAACAAGGAGGGTTAGGGTTGAAACAGACCTCCCTCCCCAACATCTCCACTGCCCCTCCCACCACTTCTCTCTCCCTTACTTCCCCTACCCCACTCTTCTCCCACCCCCCACACCTGCCTCCCCTCCCCTGCTTCTCAGCTCAGGGACCTGTGATCCCGCCATCAGCAGCCTGTGGACCCCCAGGCTGTTCTGAGCATCACAAACGATAAGGCTGTCCCATCCACAGTGCTGGTTAGCCTTGTTGATGGACATTTCACTGATCTTTTTTCATGGGCAGTGATGTCCCTGAACCTGTGCCTTTTCAAGTGGCAGATGGGCTTCAGGACAGAGCCGTGCCCATGCGAGTGGCCTTTCCTTTGAGGTCTGCCACCGTGCTGCCCTTCACAGAGTTTGCCTGATACCTACCTGTGTCAGTGGGTCAGTTGTTTGTCCCCCACACCCTCCCAACATATCCTTGTTAGGAAAGCTTTGCATCTTTGCCGATCTAAGAGCAACCCTGCTCTTCAGAATTCCATTTCTTCTACCATGAGTCAGGTTGAACAGTTTTAATTTATTTTAAAGTTGTGTTGTCCCTTGTTCTGTAACAGCCTTGACTCATTTTTTTACTGGGTAGTTGGACCTTGTCTTATTGATTGGACAGGCTCTTTACATTGTAAGGCTTTATCCCTAAATACTTACACTTTTCCTCACTTGTTGTTTGACTTTTGCTTTGTTTATTTGAGTTTTGCCATGTAGGAAATTTTAAATCAAGTGAGGTAAGCAATCTTTCACAGTTTGGGCTTTGTGAGCTCGCAGTATGCTCTCCGTGCTCCCTTCTAGTACTTTTATGGTTATTTTTAAACATTTACATCTTTGACCCATTTAGAATTTATTTTGGTCCAAGTTAGGGATCTGTGTCAGGGTCCACTTAGAGACACGTCATCCTGAAATTGGGAAATTTGAGGAGAGCTGAATAAAGGGATTAAGATGTGGTCAGGGTATAGAGCAAATACTCAGGAGAAGTGGGGTCCACCCTAGACCTGAGGGGACCTGAGAAACCTGCCCAACAGGAGCTGAGACCTGGGAGCAAGGCCTGTGCAGGGAGGGCTGTGGGGCTCCCGGGGTCTCCCTGTTGGCCAGCCCCCACCAACAGCCCACTGGCCCACCTGCGGATCACCCCGGCTCTGGGCAGGTGGGCCTGGCTGGACCCTGCACACAGCACAGAACGGTGCACCAATTATTGTGCCAACACGCTGACCTGGGAATGGGTGGTTTGAAGAGCTTCTCAGGGGCCTTGGACAGAGCACCCTAGGGTGCAGATGGGGTTAGGGGCTAGAGGGCTCAGAGACCAAGGGAAGGGTCCGTGTGGAATGAGCTGACCCCGAGCTGTACCTGCCTGCGATGGCCTTTCCCGCTTGGGGCTCCCTGGTGAGCTGGTCTTTGGAGCAGTGGGGGCCTGAGGCTGGCGTGTGAAGCTGAACAGAGCTGGGTCTGTTGCAGTGGGGAGGAGTCCGTGTTCCTCCCGGGGGGTAGTGCCCAGTGCTGCACCTCAGTCCTACTTTCCTTTGTATTCATCAGACTTGTGTCGTGCCCTTGCCAAAAAGTTATGCTGCTCCTTGACATAAAATTCAACAGGAAAACAACGTGAAGCCGCAGTCTGTGTAACAAAGTCCCGAGCACTGATAGTTTTCCCCAGGGTGACTGTTTGCCTCCTTCTGGGGATCTAAATTCTTAAAACAATTGTTTTGGCTCTATGCTTTGATGATTCCCTAACACTGGCCCTGACTGTTAGAAATTCAGTGTCTAGGCGAGGTCCTCGTGGGAGGGGCCATGAGGTGCAGATGTTGGGGTGGGAGGAGGAGCCTGGGTCCAGTGATGATGACTGATCACTGGCTGATGACTGCGCCCTGGTGTCCCGGGGAGGGGGACCCCAGGGCCATTTGAAGGTGGCAACAAGCAGAGTGGGGACAACGTGGGATGTGGTGTGCAAAGGAGTGCCCCCCCAACAGTTCCCGGCCAGGTCAAAGGAGAAGGTTCCCTGGGGCGCCCGTGGGAAGGGTCCAGGATCCACAGGAGGCCACCAGTGCCCTGGCTGGGGAGGGGACCTGAGGACAGTGTCTGGTCTTGCTGGTGACAGCTGCACTCGGGGAACCAGAAGGCGGCTGAGGGGCTGACCCTGTTTTCCCTGGGCTGTCCTGGACACTAGAACACCAGAACTGTGGGGCTTCCCGGGGACAAACCTGTATGAGCTGACCACACACGTTGTGTGTCTGTTCTGACGAGGCTGAGCTGAGGGGTAGCTGCCCGCCTGCCCCTGCCGTGTGTCTGAGGGCCTGCGTTTCCTGCCCCAGACCAAGGGAGCCATAGACAGAGGGCTGCCTGCTCCCAGGCGAAGTGTCTGCCTCCGTCCTGTGGGCCTACTGCCACTGGGAACCCCCTGCTCCTGACATAATTGTCTGCACACCCTGGGCCTTAACTGTCCTCTGATTTCTATGGTGGCCATGGCCTGGTGTTTGGGGCAGGAAGGGTGGGTCACCCGTGCGTTTACCTAGAGTGAGGCTCCTAACTCCTTGCTCTGCATTTTCATGGTGAATTTGTTTTCTGAGTTGCTGTTGAAATTCTGGAAGCAGAGAAAATGCATTTGCTCCATCACCTTCCGGATGTGACAAGTCCTATAAAATCTATTAAAGCTTTTAATGAAATCCCTGCTCAGAGCTGCTGTGAATGAATGTGGAATCAGAATTTAAATTAAAATGCTGTTTCTGTAGTCTGGAGGCTTTGCCTGGGAAGAAATTAAAGAGACAGCTCACCTTTCTGCCATCGTTCTGGTTTGATGGGTGCTGTGTTTGGTGGCCCTCTGACCAGATGTTGGGGTTCTTCCTCCCACTCTTCCCACAGAGGGGAAGGTGGGTGCACCTGTGGGCCAGTAGCCCCATGGGGCTGGACATAAAACCTTTACTTCTCAGCCCTGCACTGACAGAATCCAGCATAGGTGTCAGTTCCCAGAAAGCAGAGTGGGAGCATTGCAAGGCTTCGGGAGCTGAGAGGCAGGGGTGGTGGGGGGAAACTAGGGGGGTCAGTCCGGGGTGGGGAGGACGGGGCAGGGGTAGTTTGGGAGTGGCTGCACTGTGAGCAGCAGGCACATTCCTTCTCTCCCTGTCAACTGAGTCCTGCTGCCCTGGGGACTCCTAACAGGATCAGCTCCCAGGTCTCTCTCCATCCCCTCCCCACACTCCACCCACCTCCGGGTACCCCTGCCTGGGGGGAGAGACACAAACTTGCACAGCCTGTCTCAGGACACCGAAAGGTACTTGTTTTTCCTGTTTTCTGTATGGCAACATTGCCTGTTTCCTTCTATGATGAAAAATTCTAAAAAACACCCAGAACACATGCAGTAGCAGAATCAAGGGGCAGTTCTTCCAAAAGGAGGCCCAGGGGCCCCCTGGTGTGGGCAGGGAACCTGAGTGGGGAGCAAGTTCAGGAGTTAGGGTGGAAAATTTCATGACTGAAGGAAGGAGGGGAGCCTCATCTGAATGTGGATACTCCAAGTGCGAGTGAGTAGACATGAGTGGATGCTGCAGCGAGAGCCTTGCCCGTGCACCTGGGCCACCCGAGGCACCCAGGGTCATCGGCTGCACCCAGCAGCAGGGAGACAGGGTCACTAAAAATGGATTCATTGTGACAAAAAGTGGACCTGAGCAGGAAAACACAGGTGTGAGTTAATGTGTGGGTTAAAATCAGCCAGGTCAGCCCTGATACATCTCAAAAATAATACTGAGTGGTAAAAGCAAGTTGCAAAGGATTTTATTCAGCGTGATCATATAAATGTAATCTGCAGGGAATGTTATGCGTTGTTCTTGGTTATGTATGTAGGTGGTAAAACAATGAAAACATGCGGAGAGATGATACAAACCAATTTCAGATACGCTCCCTATGCGGAGGATGGCAGAGGCCTGAGTGTTTGTCATCATCTATGTGTTTGAATATTTTCATGCTCAAAGAGTATGAGGGATGGGATGAGGAGGCAGCATGCTGAAGGAGGTTGACCCCCAGGTGGTGGAGGGAGTGTGCAGTCCAGGGGGCTGGGCAGAGGGAGGACTTTGGGGGTTCCAAGCAGAGTTAGGAAGGAAGAAGAGCTACAGAGTCCAGGGCAAAGGCATCTGGAGGAAGTGGAGGGGGCCAGGTGGGTTGTGCTGAGTGGATCACATCCAGGCGGAAAGGGCACTTGGGAACCTGGAGCCCGGGAGGGGTGTCACGTGCCCAGCACTGGGAGCAGAGGCCACAGGGGCCCTGGGAGGGATCAGTGCCTCTCCGTCCAGGCTTCGGAGGTCTGGTACCTCTCAGAACAGGACTGGGCACAGAGAGATGGGTTTGAGAGGGCTGGAGAGCTGAAGAAAGATTGCCTTCCGAGGCTGAGAGGGCCCTTAATTATGCATTGTACACAAGACGTTTCACCAAGTAAACAGAGTTTTAAAGGCTGGCTCAGTCATGGAGAGCTGTTTCCTATGGCTCAACAAGTTTATAATAAACACAGTTAAACTTTTATTTATGGCGCAGCTGCTAATTGCACCATAAACATTTTTTCATCAAGCAATTGCTGTTTACTCACTTGCCAATCAGCTCCTTCTCCAGCTCCCTCTCTCCGTGTTCCCAATATCCCCACTTTCCGAATCTGCTATTTGAAATGTCTGTCTCCAGGCCCGCCGGCCCCTGGGCCATGCCTGTCCCCCGTCCTGGTGGGCAGCTTTGTCCCCGCCCCAGCCCACTCTGTCCTGCCATCCCTGCTCTGAGTCTCTCATATCCGTCAGGACCAGGCCCAGTGCAGGAGGCCCTGCAGGATGGCCTTGCTGACCTGTTCTGTCATTTCCCCTCACCTGGTTCCCTAACCTCAGAGCCCCAGGCAGACCTCACCTCTTCTCTCTCCCCTCCTTTATCACAGCCCCCCAGCCTACTGGGGGGGTCTCCCCATCCACCTCTCTACAAGACCAGGAATGACATAAACTGACACCTGTGTCCCCAGGGTTCACCATTTCCTTAAGCAGTGACCCTAGTGCCCGGCTCCTGCCTCCATCCCCCCTCCACCCCCCCAGGAGACCTGCTCACACCTCTGTCCCACCCTGACCACCTCCTGTGTCCTGGGCAAGCTGAGGACCCTTCTCTAGGCTGGCCCCTCAGGGGCTCAGGTCCCCCCTTCCTATGGCCCCTCCACCGGCTGGCCCCAGGGTGAGCCTGTGTGGTGCTGAAGCAGAGTGGAACTGAGCTATAGACCCTCTGGGTGGCCCAGGCCTCCCCGGCAGCATGCAGACATGCTGACCCCTGCCCCCACCAGACAGCCCCGGCCTCAGTGTCTGAACGCTCTGAGTGACCTTCTGGGTGGGGTTTCTAGAGTCCTCCCCAGGCACCTCGGGACAGATGCTGGCCGGGTACATCCTGTGTGCAGATCCCCTAGGGCCCCCCTCGATGCTGGGGGCCCAGCTGTGTTGCCAGGCCAAGTCGGGGAGAAAGATTTGTATTGTTGGAGTCTCTCAGGAGGAAAGGAGTGAACCATTCCCACCCCACCGGCCCCTTCACTTCTTAGACCCTATACGACTAGAGCACCTGGAGGGCTGGGGGTTTGTCTAAACTGAAGCTGGCTGGTGGGAAAGGACTCCGGGTCTACCGCCCCCACCCCTTCCCCCACCACAAGAGGCCCACTCCATTAAAAGGGAAAGACCAGGTTCAACACAGGGCCTAGAGACCAGTGGGTGTATGTGGTGGGATCATGTGGGGAGCCCCCAGGGTTTGGCTCTGTGCCATGCTTAAGCTGATCATAGTCATGACTCCTGGCCACCCCCCACCTTCCACCAGCGGCTGGGGCTGGGGCTGGGGCAGGGGTGGGGGGGGGGGCTGGGTCACAGGGCTGTGCAGGTCCTGAGTTCTACAGCAATGCCTGGTGGCTGTGACCGGGGCAACACCATCTGGGCTGGGGCAGGACTGACCCTCCCTGGACTGAGCAAGCCCACTGCAGTTTTGGGCAGCTGAGTGCACGTGTCAGAAGAGAGGCTTAGGAAGGAAATCATAGACTTTGTGCTGACAGAGAGTGTGGAGGCTTGAACACTAACTGGGGAAACAAAACCCCATGCCTGTCTTTGTGCTTTGAGCTGGTGAAGGGTCATTTCCTACCCGCTTCCCTTCCCACTTGTGTCCTGGTCCCTTCTTTTGGGCTCCAGGGGATGGTCTGGCGCAAGCTGCTTTTCTTTCTTATTTTAATTTTGGCTGTGCTGGGTCTTCATTGCTGTGTGCAGGCTTTCTCTAGTTGTGCTGAGTGGGGGCTACTCCCTAGTTGGGTGGGGTTATCGCTGCAGTGGCTTCTCCTGTTGTGGAGCACAGACTCTAGGGTGTGTGGGCTTCAGTTGTTGCTGAGCGTGTGTGCATGGGCTTAGTTACCCCATGGTATGTGGAATCTTCCCAGGCCAGGGATCAAACCGGGGTCCCCTGCATTGGCAGGTGCATTCTTAACCACTGGACCACCAAGGAAGTCCCATCTGCTTTTTGGCTCTCCTGGTTGGGTGGGGGAGCTGAACTGTCACACAATGCCAAAGTGCCCTGGTGAACAGAGGGCTGAGGGGTCTAAGGGTCCAGGAGCCCTGGTGCTCACCCCTGGGCCTGCGGCTGATAGGTGAGGACTGATGCTTGTCAAGGGTGTTGGTGGATGGGGTGTTGGGCTGCATGTGGTCCCCGGGGCCTGATGTTTCACCTCAAACCCCCTTGTGGATTCTGCACGTGTAAGGACACTGGGTCCTGTCCTGTCCAGTCAGCTCTGTCCAGTCCGGGTTTGAGTCTGACCCCTTCCAATCTGGCAGGCGCTGGGGCTGGGCAGGGGGTCAGGAAACAAAGAGCCACCCTGGCCGAGGCCCTGGGCAGCTGAGGGGTTTCAGCTTGGCCTGGGGGATGGGCTCTGAATTCTCCAGCCCACCCTTCCCTTCCTTCACCCCCCAGGCTCTGTTTCCAATCAGTTCAATTAGTACAACTTTAAAGCAATTAGAGGGAATCAGCTGAATGAGTCCTGCTCGTCCCCCAGCCCGGCAGCTGCTGCGCCAGCCTGGCCGGTCCTCTTCCTCGGAGACTCAGCTCCGGCGTCACATTCTCTGGAGGGTCTGCGATGGGGTGGGGGTGGGGGCAGACCCTGAGACATGGCCAAGAGTGGGAGTGGGGGGCAAAGAGTAGAAAGGGTCCGCCTTCCCTGGGACCTGGGGCCTGGGCTTGCTAACAGAGGGTCCAGAGTGAGGGTGCTCGTTAGAAGCTCAGCACTTGAGCCAGGATGCTGGGTGCAAACTCAGGGCCCCCTCTTCTTACCTCTCCTGCCTCTTCCTCCCTCCCTTCCTCTCCCTCTTCTCTCTGGCAGTGGGGTGGGGGTGGGGGAGGAGGGGGAGGAGAAGGGGGATTAAACCTCTGCTGAGGGCACTGAGTATGTGACATTTGTGGTCGTCACAGCTGCTCCCACTTCTGTGTCTCTGGCTGAGGGAAGAGCCTGCAGCAGTTTTCTGAGGAGGACGGATGTGCCAGCCTCTGCCCCCACTCCATGGCCTCCAGGGGTTGCAGCTCCGCACCCCTTGGTGGGGCAGCCTCTGTTCAGGGCTCTGCCCTCTGTCTACAGGGCACTTTTGCCCCTGCATGTAGCAGAGGCCTTCTGGCCTCCAGGGGGGCTGCCTGGAGGAGGTGACCCCTCCCTGCTGGGGACACCCTAGAAGGAGGCCTGTGCCTCCCCTCCAGGATGTGGGTGGGGGCAGGCCAGGTGCAGGGATCTGACATCACAGACAGAGCCCTTTGTATTGGTGCCCACCCAACCCTCCCCCCATCTCCTGACCCCACCCCACCCCCAGCCTCTCAGCAAAGGCCTATTTGGGGGGCCTCTGCTGGGAGACCCCCCCACCAGCGCAGCCTCCCTCAGATGTGTGTAGGGGTCAGCAGTCTACCTTCTGTCTACAGTGTTCTATCTTCCTTCACCTGTCCACCCTGGCTCAAGACTGGGGCAGGCCCAGAGCCAGGCATTGGGTGAAACAGGCTCCTGTTGCCCCCTCCTTCCCCAGGAGCTGGATTCTGGACGAATGATGACATAATACTTGGTCATCAGTGATAAAGGCCCCCAGGAGGAGGGGCTGGGCCCAGGAGAACACCCAGGGTGCTGACCTAGTCTGGAAGAGCCTAGGAAAGGAGCTGCATGGGGCAAAGCCTGGCAGGGGAGAGGGAGCTACCCTCCTGTGTGTGGCCCCGCTCCAGGGAGGGTGGGTGGAGGTCAGCCCAGGGGCCTGGCGGGTGGTAGATGCTGTCGGGAGGGTGCAGGGAGGTGCTGGGCGTGGCTGGGAGAGGGGTAACCCTCCACTCCGTTCTCCAGCTGATAGGGTTCCCTGTGGACACGGGGATGGTCTGGAGATGAAGGCAACTGGCCCACCCCCAGCTGCTGACCTGACGTCTATGTCCAGCCACCCTGTCCTGCTCTGACTGTCTGCACCCCCCCAGCCCTGTGCCGCCAGCAGCCTTCTCTGGGCCCCATCAAGCAGGGCTGGAACATGTCCTGTGTCCCCACAGCTGCCACTTGAAGAAGGACATGACAGCCCAATCCAGTGTTCTTGCCTGAAGACTCCCATGGACAGAGGAGCCTGGAGGGCTACAATCCATGGGATGGCAAAGAGTCAGATACGACTGAAGCGACATAACACACACTGGGAGGGCTCCCCAAAGCAGGGAGGCTGAGCGGTGCAGGGGAGCAGAGCTCACAACCCAGCAAAATTCTAGGGAAAATCTGGGACCACCAGTGGAGCCCCTTTCTGACCTGCTGGCCTGTTCAGGGGTTGAGGGCCTCCTGGTGGTAAAGGGCTGCTTCCTGTTCCCCTCTCCACTCCTCCAAGCTTCCTGCACAAACACAGGAAGGCGGAGGGGTCTCCAGAGATGTCTAATGGCCAGGACATTCTCTCCCAGTGTTGGCTGTCCCCATTACAAGGTTTTCACTTCCTCATGAAGCAGTTTCCAACATACTGGCCCTGTGTCGCTGGATGAATGTGAGGAACCATAAGGAGAGGCAAGGAGATGAGACACTTTGGGATATCGTCTGCAGAAGGCAGTCTGGCTGCAGGCACCTCTGGGCTGGGGCCTTGCACAGCCTCTGCTCAGGTTTGGGGGAGACCCCTCAAGCACAGACAGGCACCCAGCCTGAGCAGAGCAGACCAGACGCTCACCTCGCGTGGCTCCTCACCCAGTGGGCAGTACAGGCAGTGAGGGGCCACCCCCAGGGCAGGTGTGGGGCGGGGGCTCTGACTGGTGGCCTCAGGTTTGCGGCCTGTTCCCTGGTGTGGACAACTGTACCCGTCAGGAGGCACAGGGGCTGCTGGGAGCTGAGACCCAGGACACCTTGCTCTGCAGGGAGCTCACAGTCTAGGGGTGGTTATGTAGGGAACACGATGGGCCCTGGGTTGGGGGGAGTGGGCATCTGTGGACCTTGGCCTGAATCTGGGTGCACACCCACTAGATGGCAGCTGATGGGGTTGGGTCCACATGGGGCCCTCCCATGGTGACGGACTAGACCTGTAGGTTTTGTGTCTGTTTCCAGCCACTCCCCTGCGCAGGGGCAGGAATGGTGTGTGCATGCACGTATGCATGCACATGCACACGTGCACAGATATGCAAACACAGGTGTGCACACACACATGCACAGATGCTCACACAGTGACCACACAACAGGACACGCACATGTAAGTGCACACACAGTCATAAATGTGGACTCACCCTTGTGCAAGGTGTGTACACTGCTGCATGCCCACAGACGTGCCCAGCCAGAGGTACACACAGGTGGACACGCACAGCTTGTATTCGAATGTCCCTCTGTGCAGCTGTTTTTGGCCATGGGCTCTTGCTTCTTCCTGCCTGGGGTTCTCACCCCAGGACAGCAGAGCCAAGGGCCGAGAGCGATCTCTGGAAGCTGAAGGCCCGGCCTCTTTTATGGACCTTGGCTTGCTGGTCTGTGGCTGGCGATGCTGGCACTTAGCTTGCAGGTAGTGGGCGGGA